TCTAATTTATTGTGTGTGTATGATTAAGTGTATTCAAATAGGTGGGACGAATTGGGCCTTAGCGAAACTAGAAGGGCGGAGCAAAAAACATGCACTGTGGTAAGATCAGGACCCATCCTTTACATAAACAATACATAATCCAACACACATTTTAGAAAAACTGATGATAGTGGAAAACACCGAAACGTATTTTAATTGATAAATAGAGACAATAAATGACTGAAACCCAGGAATTAATTTTGATTTGGAATTGAAAGTCAGTCAGGAAAGTATATACAATCATATTTAACATCAGAAAATAAAAAAATACACTAATACAACCAAAGCGTTTTTCAACATTAGAAAAATAAACAAAACGAAGGCAAATACTAGGAGGACCTAAAGAAAGAACTCTCACGAACAAACATACTTACCAGAATGGAGGTAGATGAAATAGAAAGTAAAATTCGAAACGATATTAAAGCCGCGACAAAGAAGGTCTGCAGCATTAGGAAGAAAGGAAACAGCAAAATATCACAGCGAAACAGAGACATGATTAGAGAACAAAGAAACATGAAGAAAGGTATTCAGAACATAGGTAAATAAACGAGCAAATCAAGAAAAATTGACTGACTCAACTCATAAATACGGTAATAGAAAACAAAAAAAAAATTGAAAATAATTAAATCCATCAATTCAATAGGTAAAACAAATATACACCAATCGAAGGACAATCACGGTGAAATAAAAAATGGAAAAAAACAAGATAGTCCAAGTTGTAGAAAACTTCTACAGTAAACTTTACTCCTCAAGTATTCCAGCAACTAGTAATACCTCGTCCAACATCATGAATATGGGTTCGGAGAAGATCCCAGATATTACAATGGATGATGTCAAACAAGCCTTGGCCCAAATGAAAGGAGGCCGTGCTCTTAGTGAGCTCGGGGGATTTAAAACCCTACAGTCAATAACTATTTTGATGATTAAACGGCGGAACGCTCAAGTTACCCTTTTATACAAAAAAAGGCGACAAATTATACATCGAAAATGACCGTCCAATACGTGTCTTGCCGCACTCATATAAATTACTCACATTGTCAGAAATAGACTTACAAACACATTCGATGCCTATGCGCAGCCAGAGCAGGCAGGATTCCGCAAAGGCTATATTGAACCAAAACATAACATCAAAATATTAATTGAAAAATGTACCGAATACAACGATAAAATTCACCTTTCGTAGACTATAGTAAGACATTCGATTCTATAAAACTATAGGCCATATTCCACGCTATGAATAACGCGAGAAATGAATGAATTGAATATGAAGACTCGAGATATAGAGGTCTTCTCAAATACATCTACAAGAAAGCAACCCTACAAGTTAAAATTGAGGAAGAACTGAAAAATACAAAAGAAACCTATTCAGCGAGGAGTAAGACAGGTAGATACGATATCTCCGAAACTCTTCACACTAGCGTTAGCCGTTTTTAAACAAATGCATTGAGAAAATGGAATTGACATCGATGGCAGATGCCTTAGCCAACTTAGATTTGCCGATGACGTAGTCCTGATAAGCAACCACCAGGAGGAACTTCAACAAATGCTAACGGAGCTGAAAGAAGCTTCGGAAGGGATAGGACTGAGCATAAACCTTTCCAAAACCAAGATACTTTGCTCAGACGAGGCAGCGATATATGTTGGGGAAACCGAAATTGATAGAGTTGAAGACTATGAAGAGACGAAGACACATTAAACTCGGCAAAGAAAACCACCATGCGGAAACGAGTAGGGGGGTGACATGGGCGACCACTGGAAGATTGGAATACATTCTCAAAAACCTCAATATTCCCATCAACCTAAAACCAAAAATATTTAATCCCTGCATCCTTCCGGTGATGGCATATGCTATGGAAACCACCACTTTGACTGCTAGAGCTGCCACAGAACTTCGCAGCAAGCAGACAACATTAGAGCGAATTATTTTGGGAATATCATTTCGAGATCATGTACGAAACGAAGAAATAAGACGACGCACAAAGATGGAGAATGTGATAGCACGTGTCGCCAATTTAAAATGGACTTGGGCAGGACACGACGCCAGACAAGAAAATACAAGATGGACAGAACACATTCTACCAAGGAGGCCTATGCTCTCCAAACAGTCTCCAAAAAGTGGATTGACGGAAGAGAGAAAGCAGGAAGAAACTGGCAGCAAATTGCAAGGGATAGTTGGACTGGAGAAGACGAGGGGAGGCTTATGTCTAGGAGTGGACCGAAAAAGGCTGCTAAAGAAGAAGAAGATCTATACGCCCCACCTGATGACGCAAGACCTGGTGAAAGGGATGAATTCGATAACCAACTAGAAACCACTCTGACCAGTCGCGGAAATCATTCTTC